GATAAATAATTATTGAAAAAAATTGTTTAAATATACGGAAAAAAGGGGTTTTTCACGGTTCAGTATAGACGTCTCATTTTGAGAGGATAAAATATTTCGGGTTCATATTTGGAGGGGTGATAGAGGAAGACTCTGAGAGGAGCGGCCCTCTCCGTTTTTGCAATAATTTTGCGAGGAAATTATTTTATTAACGATTGAAAGTGGAGTAATTTGAGATTAATACATTTCCTTAGTTCAAGTCGCGACCACTTCCGAGAATTGGCGCCACCTCCTTGACCACTGACACATAGATCCACTTGTCTGTGTGCTCGCCGCCATATTGTCTCTCACTTTCGCCAAAAATCCAACTTTTGTAATTTCGTTTTTCAATATTTATTTCAAAAATTACTTGCAATATTCGAGAATATTCTTTATCATCATGAATTCCCCTAATTATCATGATAAATCCGAACTAAATATCTCTAATTATTTAGGAGTGAGACGACACGCGGGAAAACACTTTTTGGGCTCGATTTTTCCCGGATGCCCTTAAGAAAATTTTTTTTATTCAAAAAACTGTATGACATTATTTTTAATACAAAAGCGTTAGAAAAAAGTAAGTTGCATTGTAAAAATAATTATTTTAATTTGAGCTTATCCGTTTGGCAAAGCCTGACAAGGTTTACTCTAAAAAAGAGATTATTTTTAGGAATAATAATTTGTTATTTAAATTAATTAAGAGTGTTCGATGGTCTCTTAAATTTCTAGTTTATGTTTGTTCTACAGTTATCGTCCAATAAAAATGGCACTGACCGATTAAAATTACGAACCCACTTGGCTTCTGGACGAACCGCAGACCCCAGCTCAAAGACTATGTCTGTGAATGATCCTTTTTCTAGGCAGTACTCAACCAACCTGCAAACTTTAATTGGCGGATTATTCTTACTATCATATGGAAAATATGTCGATCCAACGACCGTCTTATCAATACCCTCTAGGTCAGATACCACCGCCATCAGATCTGCAGAACACAGATTTAACAGTGGAGTTGCATTATTGACCTTCGGAAGAATACACGCTCTAGGTATGACAGCTAGAGTCCCTATAACAAACCAGACAAGCTCCTGGACATAGCGAGGTGCCTGTGTGCATCCTAGTCATACTCCGCAACAATAGTGATGACGAGCCTTTACTATGATGCAAGTCATTCTGTATAACGGTGAGCTTACAAACAGTGAATTATGTTTGTTTTTCTCCTATCACCATTTTCTCAGAAATCGCAGTAAGGCTTGAAATCGAGAGCCTTCATAGCCCTCGCTTGGCTCTCAGCGACCTGCATAACCAGAAAAAAATGTCTGCCAATTGTGTCAGCGAGAAGTTGTACCGCTCAAGAGTTTGTCAGACCACTTTGCACGTCCTCCTGTTTTCCCGGAATCCGTACGGTAGCCTTTACCATCCTCTGTAGTATCTCTACCCACTATCTTTTAATTTCACTCCTTCTCAGGGCCTAAGTTCAGATACAAATTATGTGAGCTATGCTTTAGCTAGCTTTAGCCTGGCACCCTGTTGGACCGACTTTGGTCTCATATTATTTTCTTTTTCCAAGGGTGGTGCGGTGCGTCTTGGCCAATTTTTTTCGACCCAGTATAGTTTTTTACACCCGAGGAATTCAAGGGATTAGTTCCGGCATTCTGCCGTTTCCTCTTCAAATTTCAACTTTCAGGAAATTTTCGGTGTCGTGTGAGTTATGAGTATCGTATTGGGACGACAAGCAGGTTTTTAGAAAAATATCCTGTTTTTTATGATTGTGGGACAGTATAGATAGAAATAATCATTACGTACAAACAGAATGGTCCAAAAAACATCTTTTTCACCAGGTTAAAAAAATATTATCAGAAAACTTCTGATTTAACCCTCAAACGTTCAACATCACCTTTGCATATTTACAGAGATCTCTGATGTAAAATTAAAAAAAGGAATTTGTGATAGGCCAAAAATTCGCAAACTTTTAAAAGATGATAAATTTATCACTGTAATGAGCAAAATTGAGAAAAATAAATGGCTGAAAGTTATAGATAACTTTCTTGGTAATCATAACCCTCTGGACACGGAAACGTCTTTGTTCTAGAAACGTTTCTAAAACGTTTTTAGTAATAGTAGATGATATGCAGTAGGATCTTTCAATAGTGCAGTTCTGAACAGTGCAGTCATTAGTGAGTTGAGTAGACAAGGGGTTTCGGGAGGCAAAGGGAAAGAGAATCTGTGACGTCGAATACAGTGCCGTCGCGCATTTCATTATTTAGTATCATTTAGTGGTGCCTGGTATTTAGTAGTAGGGGACCCTTAATTTTCTTGACATGGACCTGAATGTTTTAGTTTTTGTTTGCTTCGAACAGTGCACAATATTCCCGACGACTGCACTATTGAAAGATCCTACTGTAATTACAAAATTTTAAAAATTGGATACTTAATGAGTTTGAAGCTTTATTCTCTAAATTCACATATAAAAAAGTTTCACAACAATTTAACAGACCGCTATTAAGGCGCCATTCTAAAATAGCGGCACAGGAGCCATTTTTGTAATTCATATTTTTTTCCAGGAGCTCCGCGGCACGCAGTATAAGTAAATGTAAATTTCAGTCTAGGACAAAATAAAAATTTTTTCTTTAACAACATGAGAATAGATACAGAAATACGTAGGGGATTTTCAAAATATTGATTTTTGTGTAATTTGTAATCATTTGAAGAGAAAACTCACTTTTCGAGCAAAAAAACGACACTTAATTGTTTATAACAATTGTTTAAATCTACTTATCAAAAAACCGCTACGCATTTCTCTTAAAAATTAAATTTTTAAGATGTAGTAGAAAACCCGATTGAAAATATTGAAAATTGTTTGAGTTATGCTGCGTGCCGATTTCAGAAACTGTGTTTTGAGAAAAAACGTGTTTAAGGGGTAAATTTTTTTTAAGTAATTATTAACTATGTATTCAAGTAAAAAATTACAAATTGTCATTAATTAATATTTCAAATTGCGACACAGCAACCATTCTCGTAATGCATGTTTTATGCAAGGTAAAGTTCTTCTCCGTTAAAAAAGCTTGAAATTTTAATAAAATCAATTTCGAATATGTATAAAACATGAGATTTATATTTTATAAGATTCAGAAAATTTTTTAAACTAATAAAAAAATCTATTTTTTGAAATGACTACAGTGGTGTAACCCCTTAAAAGGAAAACCACTGCACATGCCTTTTGAAGACAAACGAGTGCATTACCATAAACTTAGTCTTTAATAAATTAAAAATAATATAATTATGTATAATAATTACATTACTAATATAATTCAAAATTATTTCACCCTTTTTTTAAATCTAAGTCTATTAAGTGTATTATTAAGTATCTAAACCCATTAATGCCCATGGGCACAGGAAAGCTGATATCAAAAAAATAACAATTGGAATCCTGGCATGGGGTCTAATAATAATTTTTGACGTTAAAAATTTTGTTTAAAAAAATTTATTTAAACAATTTGTTATAAACAAATTAAGAAAAATTTCATAAAAAACTGATAGCGCCAAACGATTCAACGCGAAAAACTACTACGAGAACATATATTACATACTTTTTAAAAAAAGACCTATTGTTATAAAAATGTTATAAACAATTAGCCTGCATAAATACTCATTCCAGCCCATGAACACAGAAACGCAGATATCAAAAAAGTAACTATTGGGATCCTGGCATGGGGTATAATAATAATTTTTGACGTTAACAATTTGGTTTAAAAAATTTTTTTTTGTTATAAACAAATTAAGAAAAATTTCATAAAAAACTGATAGCGCCAAACGATTCAACGCGAAAAACTACTACGAGAACATATATTACATACTTTTTAAAAAAAGACCTATTGTTATAAAAATGTTATAAACAATTAGCCTGCATAAATACTCATTCCAGCCCATGAACACAGAAACGCAGATATCAAAAAAGTAACTATTGGGATCCTGGCATGGGGTATAATAATAATTTTTGACGTTAACAATTTGGTTTAAAAAATTTTTTTTTGTTATAAACAAATTAAAAAAATTTTAATTTGTTATAAACAAATTAAGAAAAATTGATTTTTATAAAAAACTGATAGCACCATTCGATTCTACGCGAAAAACTACTACGAGAACATATATTATGCTAAAAATCAGTTTTTCTTCATTTGTTTATAAAAAATTGTTTAAACAAATTTTTTTAAACAATTTTTAACGTCAAAAATTATTATTAGACCCCATGCCAGGATCTCAATTGTTACTTTTTTTATATCTGCGTTTCTGTGCCCATGGGCTGGAACGAGTATTCATGCAGGCTAATTGTTTATAACATTTTTATAACAATAGGTCTTTTTTAAAAAATTATGTAACATATGTTCTCGTAGTAGTTTTTCGCGTAGAATCGAATGGCGCTATCAGTTTTTTATGAAAATCAGTTTTTCTTAATTTGTTTATAACAAATTGTTTAAACAAATTTTTTTAAACAAAATTTTTAACGTCAAAAATTATTATTAGATCCCATGCCAGGATCCTCATTTTATTTTTTTTAAATCTGCGTTCCTGTGCCCATGGGTATTAATGGGTTAAGCGTTTAGCTTTCATGCTCCAAATTACATTTCAAATTTGGGGCCGAAAAATCTTACATTGTTGCTTTTATCTACTGAAAAAGTTTGTCCGTGAACATCCCCATTTAAATAATTTGTCCGCCATTTAAATTTTATAAATCTAATTGACGCGCAGGATATTTTTTTGTGGGGGTGTGTAATTAATAATGATTTTAATATATATATATATATATAACTTATTTTGTTAAAAATAATGAAAAAAGGATAAAAATATTTTTTGAAAACTTCAATATATGTAATTTTAATAATTATTAACATTTTTATGAATGTTCATAATAATATTTAGTATTTAGCACAATCAACTATTCTACATGGGACGATTTTAATTTAAAATTTATTAACATTTCGTAGAGCACTCATCTCAAGGATAGGAAGCAACATTTCTCTACCATCAACTTTAAACCAGGATCAGGATTTAACTTTAAATAATCCATCAGTATATAATCAAATAGCACAAATTGCTCCTTTAAATTTAACTGAGTCAAAAGAAAATTTAGACTCTGGAAATAATAATTTAGAAAAGTTATTGAAATTAACCCCTGTAAATGCTGAAAACATTATTCCACTTTCAAATTTGAATGTTAATGGTAAATATTTAAAAATATATTCTGCTTAAATTTAATTAATTTTTATTCTTTCCTATTTCATATTTTTATTTTCTCTTCAATATCAATGTTATTAGTATCTCCTTATTTGCATAATTTAATGAGCAAAATAAACATAATTTTCTGTTTACTTAAATTTCATTAATTTCGTTTTACTTTCAGTTTAAGTTGTATTTAGAAAGTATTTTGCATTTTAGGAAGAATTTCAGTAAAAACAGTACAAAATCGGTCATGTCCTAAAAGAAATAGCCATGCTCCTCATGCAGAATTTATATCTTCCATAAGTATACTTTACGCTAAGTTATTAATAGTTGTTGGGGTTGCTATTCCAGTAACGGCAAGTGTAAGTCAACAAGTTCCTCCTGCTTTGGATCAGGTAAACTTATAATGTAATTATTCATTTGGAAAAATATCTTTTTTATTTCACTATTTTCAACTGAAGTCTGAAAAAATATTTTAAAGGAATGGTAAAAAATAGCTACATTCCTACAAAAAAAAAGTTTAATGTTTTGAATATAAAATAAGAAGGAGATAAATATTATTCTACATGGAGAAAAAAAATATCCCTATTTTTTTGAAAATAAAAAAATGTTTAGAGGTCACTCAAAGCGCTCAAATTTTCCCATGTAAAATGCATTGGGAAAAAACACTTTTTCGTAGAATTGGTATAGAATCCTTAAAAATTAATATTTTTTATTCAGCAAACTCTGTTTCTCTTCAAAAGACTTCAAAGAATAGTGCTAAATTGTTTATTTAATCATTTTTTAATATTAACTATTTTTTATAGTTCCCCAAAGAAACACCATAAATTTAAAAATTACAAAAAAATCGTTAAAAAATATTTTTTACTATTTTTACCAAAGTTTTTTTTAGATTATGAATTATATTATTATTATTATTATTATTATTATTATTGCTTATTTGTTTAAACAAATTATTATTGTTTATTTACAACTTTTTATCTAATTGAGCTACAGAGTTGCGATTTTTTCTGAATTTTGTAACTTTTCAGGACGAATGTAATCAGTTACTTACAACAAACGAAGAATAATAATTTTATTAATTGTTTAAATAAATTACTATTGTTTAACTTTAATTTTTATCAAAATGAGCTAGAGTTGCAAACTTTTTCTCAATTGTACATTTAATTTTTTTGTGAGGTAAGATTTAATGTAAGACTTAATTATCGAGTAAAAATAGTGAACAATAAATTTATTAATTATAAAAATGTTAAGTACAAAAATTTTTATTTACATCATTAAAATTATTACTGCGATAGCTTCAAATTTAAAATAACAATTTGTTTAAACAATTGGTAAAATTATAATTCTTAAATTGTTGTTAGTAACTAGTTACATTTAGCTTGGAAAGATGCGAAATTGAGAAAAAATTGCAACTCTATAGCTCAATTTGATAAAAAGTGGAAGTTAAACAATAGTAATTTGTTTAATCAATTGGTAAAATTATTATTTTTAGTTTGTTGTTAGAAACTGGTTATAATCGGCTTGAAAAGTTGCAAAATTCAGAAAAAATCGCAACTCTGTAGCTCAATTTTCTAAAAAGATAAAATTAAACAATAGTAATTTGTTTAAACAATTGGTAAATTAATATTCTTAGTCAGGTGATAGTGACTGGTTACATTCGACCTGAAAAGTTGCAAAATTGAGAAAAAATCGCAACTCTTTAGCTCAATTAGATAAAAAGTTGTAAATAAACAATAATAACTCAGGACCACAACATTTTTTTAAAGGACGTATTGACCAAACCATGGTTTTATATGTTCTTTGGGTCGCTTAATTCGAATCCGAACTCAGTGTTCAGCCATCACGTCAAGTTTCTTCACAAATTAATAAAATTCGAAAATAACTGACTGTAAACAAGATTTAAATAAAAATAAGCAGAAGATTCTATTAAAAAACAACTTTAAAACATTGAAAAAATATTATATTCAAAATTAAAGATGTCGGATCCAATATGGCGTCGATTTTTCTAAAATTTACCCAATTCGCCTGAAACTTGTTACTTGGGGGTTTTTGAGGTTGCTAAATACGAATTTCACTCCAATATGGCTGAACAATTTTTTAAAAAAATATTGGATTTACCTGGAACGTTATACTCGGGGGGTTTTAAGGTCACTGAATACGAATTCCACCTTAGTTTTTAAAAATTCAAAATCTGATAAATTTTTAACTAATTTGTTAGCCATATTGGATCCGCCATTTTGGATTCTTTAAAACTAAGGTAAAATTCGTATTCAGCGACCCCAAAAACCCCGAAGTAACAAGTTTTGAATAAATCTGATAAATTTTTTAAAAATACGTCAGCCATATTGGATCCGCCATTTTATGAATTTTAAAAAACTAAGGTGAAATTCGTATTCAGCGACCCCAAAAACCTTCGAGTAACAAGTTTCAAGTAAATCTGATAAATTTTTAAAAAATTCGACAGCCGTATTGGATCCGCCATTTTGAAAAAACTTGACGTGATGTCGGAAAACTGAGTTTGGATTCGAATTAAGCGACCCAAAAAACATATAAAAACCATGGTCCGGTCAATACTTTAATTAAAAAAACTTTTGTGGTTCTGTGTAATTTGTTTAAACAAATTAGGAATTACATGGAATAATGTTTAAAAATCAATATTTGTGTTATTTATTCATAATCTAGGAAAAACTTTGATAATAATAGTAAAAAAAATTTTAAACGATTTTTTTGTAATTTTGAAATTTATGGGGTTTTTTTGGGGCACTATAAAAAATAGTTAATTTTAAACAGTGATAAAATAAACAATTTAGCACTATTCTTTGAAGTCTTCTGAAGAGAAACAGAGTTTTCTGAATTAAAAATATTGATTTTCAAGGATTCTATACCAATTCTAAGAAAAAGTGTTTTTTCTCCATGCATTTTACATGGGAAACTTTAAGCGCTTTGAGTGACCTCTAAACATTTTTTTATTTTCAAAAAAATAGGGATATTTTTTTCCATATAGAACAATCCTAGGGGATGAGAGCATTAAACTTCCGATTTTATTTTTTTCCCATGCATTTTTGGACCACCCTAATATACATATAACTAAGTAATTTACATACGGGAATTTCATTGAAATATAGATGAAAATGATACGAAAATATAGATTTACAATTAAATTCAGGAAGGTCATGTTATTCAGTGGTCACGTGTTCCCATAGTGAAGTATATGGAGCACGTGACCACTGAATAACATAACCTTAACTATTAACGCCCACCAGGACGCAAAATGTACCATGATTTCACGACTCTTATTCTGTATGAAATAATTAGTTAAAAATTTTAGGAAATACCATTTCCGACGTAAAATTTATTGCTCTTTCTGAATATGAAGCTAAAATTTGTTTATAATTATTTAAAAAAAATAATAACAATTTTATTGCAAAAAAACACACTTTTTTATGAAAAAGAAATTTTTCAATTATTATTTTGACATGAAAAACTAAAGAATATGGTCTCCAAAGCACAAAATATCGCGTCCTCGAACTCTCAGCTATAAAAATCCATAATTGCTTTTTATTAAATTCAAGATGCCGGATATGAAAATGGCCATTTTTCCAAAATGCAAAAGGCCGAAAAAATTTTCAGGTAATGTTTTTCAGAAGTTATTAGATTTGATTGAAAATAGTTACTTGAGGGTTTTTTTGGTCGCTGATTACGAATCTGATATTACTTTTTAAAAATTCAAAATGTCGAATCCAATATGGCGGACATATTTTTTAAAAAGTGATTGCATTTGCTTGAAAATAGTTACTCGGCGGTTTTTGGGGTCGCTCATTACGAATCTGATATCAATTTTTCAAAATTCAAAATGGCGGATCTCATATGGCGGACAATTTTTTAAAAAGTGATTAAATTTGCTTGAAAATGGTTACTCGGAAGTTCTTGGGGTCGCTGATTACGAATCTGATGTTACTTTTTTAAAATTCAAAATGGCGGATCCAATATGGCGGACATTAACCTTGAGAGGGCCGGGGTGGCCACTATAGTGGCCACCATTAATTTTCACTACTATTTTCATCGAATTGACTTTTTCTTTAATTTTACTTAATAAAAAACTAGTAAAATTTTTAAAAATTTTCCGGCCCTCTAAAGGTTAAAAAAGTAGCTTTTTTGCACATCGACCTCCTTGCGGTAAGATTTGGGCAACGTCATTAAAATTTTGTTGACGGCTAACGGACGTGGAGGATAAACATAATATTGTTCTGATGTCAGATTCGTAATTAACATCCTCAAAAACCCCCGCGTAACTATTTTCAAGCGAATCTAATCACTTTTTAAAAAATTGTCCGCCATATTGGATCCGCTATTTTGAATTTGAAAGAAGTGACAACAGATTCGTAACCAGCATCCCCAAAAACCCCCGAATGGTCAATTTAAAGCCAATCCAATCAGTTTTTAAAAAAATTACCGGCATATTGGATCCGCCATTTTGAATTTTGAAAAAGTAACATCAGATTCGTAATCAGCGACCCTAAAAACCCCCGAGTAACTATTTTCAAGCAAGTCCAGTCACTTTTTAACCCTTTGAGGACCAGTGTTGCTTTCAGGCAAATGGACATTTTTTTATTAACTCGGGCATAAATTTCTTAATCTTCAAAACTGAATATTGAAACAATAATTTTCACATAGTCTGGAAAATTTCGTATCACAAACACTGGTCTTTAAGTAAAAAACTTCAATAACTTTCCCTGAAAAGTTTGCTTAAAAATGAAAAATCGCGATTTTTTAAGAAAAAATTTAGTCCTCAAAGGGTTAAAAAATATGTCCGCCATATTGGATCCACCATTTTAAATTTTGAAAAAGTGATATTAGGTTCGTAATCAGCGACCCCGAAAACCCCCGAGTAACTATTTTCAAGCAAATCCAATCACTTTTTAAAAAATATGTCCGCCATATTGGATCCGCCATTTTGAATTTTAAAAAAGTAACATCAGATTCGTAATCAGCGACCCCAAGAACTTCCGAGTAACCATTTTCAAGCAAATTTAATCACTTTTTAAAAAATTGTCCGCCATATTGGATCCGCCATTTTGAATTTTGAAAAATTGATATCAGATTCGTAATGAGCGACCCCAAAAACCGCCGAGTAACTATTTTCAAGCAAATCCAATCACTTTTTAAAAAATATGTCCGCCATATTGGATTCGACATTTTGAATTTTTAAAAAGTAACATCAGATTCGTAATCAGCGACCACAAAAACCCCCGAGTAACTATTTTCAATCAAATCTAATAACTTTTGAAAAACATTACCTGAAAATTTTTTTCGGCCTTTTGCATTTTGGTAAAATGGCCATTTTCATATCCGCCATCTTGAATTTAATAAAAAACAATTATGGATTTTTATAGCTGAGATTTCGAGGACGCGATATTTTGTGCTTTGGAGACCATATTCTTTAGTTTTTCATGTCAAAATAATAATTGAAAAATTTTTTTTTCATAAAAAGTGTGTTTTTTTGCAATAAAATTGTTATAAATTTTTTTGAGATAATTATAAACAAATTTTAGCTTCCTATTCAGAAAGAGCGATAAATTTTACGTCGGAAATGGTATTTCCTAAAATTTTAACTAATTATTTCATACAAAATAAGAGTCGTGAAATCATGGTACATTTTGCGTCCTGGTGGGCGTTAATGGGTTAATTTCTGCCGAATATCGCAATCAATTAACTTTATTGAAGCTTTAACTTTTTTGTAATTATCGCAGAATAAATTTTTAATAATTAATTACAGAATTTTTTTACAGGGATTTTATCTTTACCTTTATATAGTTAGCGTTGTATTCCTCATTACTTTATATTCAACATTACTCAGGGACAAAGCTGTCAAAAATTTATTAGTGAAACATGCCAAACGAGAAGAAAGATGTAACTTCAATGATGATTCAAATATGGAAATTAGTGTAAATAATGAATTAGTTGCATTTAATAAATTTAAATTTGACTCTTATTTGGGTGATTTTCAAATAACTGTTATTTTTTAATAAGATGTTTTTCCGCTAAAATAGTGAACCTTTGACATTCATTACATATTTTAGTACATTTTTGTTATTGAAGTATATGTACATAAATGTTCAAAAGGAAACTACAAGATGTTGAATATTTTTAGAGTTACGATGAAAAACGCAAAAGTGACATGCCACGAACCTGAGTGCCATGGACCAGTAAAAGTAAATTAAAAATAAAATTGAGTAATAAAATCACGATTTCGTTAACGTGTATAGGTACAAAGTAATTAACAATTTAAAACATGAAAAAAGTGCTCGTGTACGTAGAATATCATTATATGTAATAAAAATATTTTTATATGTAAAACATCTAGTTAGATTTGGCTTACAAAGTACTTAATGCTGAATCCACACTAGTTACGTGAAATCAAGAACGGACGAATTTACGTGACGAATAAACGGGGCGTACGCAGTATTGCCAACACAAAGTTCTGACAGAAGAAACTAATGTTAGCTGTCATGATGGGTTATGTTTTTATTTTCTATTTTGTATAATTGAATTGCAAATATTTTACAGTTTTGTGAATTGAGAATGTATTAAAAGTGAAAAAGTATAGATGCCATTTAACAGTGCAAATAATAATAAAAACATCAATTTAATTATTAAATGGATGTATAATTCTATTAAAATTTTAATTTATTATAGATTATCAATGGCAATTAAATACACACATTTATAATTAAAGTGTGTGATAAATCTATTATTTAAATAAATATTATGTTTTAAAATTAAATTGGAGATACGTTAAGTGTAATTTAGAAAGTGAGTTGTTGAGTTATTATTTTCAAAATAAAATTTTATTAATATCACGTTCAAAGTGTACATTATTGGCAGGCTAAATGCTCTTATAGCATTACTTTAAATCTCAAATTAGTTTAAATTATTTCATTTAAGAACAATTTTAAAAAATTGATAACAAGCATAAAATAGAGCATAAAAATTAACAATGAAAAATAATAGAAATTTTGAGAAATTAAATTATTTAATTTTATAGAATTTTGAGTATTTTTTATAAAATTATCAACCTATTGATTATTTATTCGTAGTTAATAAAAATTTTAAATAATTAAAAGCTAGAAATGAATTCACTATTTTTGAACAATTTGAGCATGAAATTTAACAATAAAAGATAATAAGAATTTTAATGAGAAAAATTAAAATTTTTTATAATTTTGAGTATTATTTGTAAAATTATTAACCCATTGATTATTTCTTTGTAATTTACTAAAATTTCTTATTATTAAAAAAAAATTCACTACTTATAAAAAAGAAAATTTCCATAAAAATTTTATTTGTTATTATTGGGTTTAGACTAAGTTTGCCAATACAATTCTGCTCAATCGATTTGAGTATAAATAAACAATATGTTTAATAATAAACCAATGTTTAAAAGAAAATCTCGAAAATTTATTTATACTTAAATAATAACACGTACAAATATTATTAATAATAAAAGAAATTTTAAAAACATTTGTGAATTAGAAAGTCTTAAAGCAAGTTTGACTTTTTAAGAAAGTAAGAACATTCATTTTAATCAAATATATTGGAGAAGAAAATATTCTGCCAGCTTTTCCCTTATTAATATTCTTGGTAGATCACACGATTCATCATTTTCATCATGCTCATCGGCATCATCGGAATTACCATCATCATTATCTTCATCATCGCTCTCAACAATGTCAAAGTCGTCGCCTTCATTTTCATCATTTTTTGCGTCATTGTATTTCTTCCTTATTGTTGTTAACAATTTATCAGTAACATAATGTCTTATCTTCTGGGGAGTAATCTTCTTCCTTTGCAATTAAAAAATTGTGAAGACACACTAAACATTTTACGACGTTAATTGAGGTTTCCAAATTGAAGGCTAATGGTTTGTGAAGTATTCTCCATCTCGCTGTTAAAATTCCAAAGGAATATTCTATTGTCATTCTTGCTCTTGAAAGACTAAAATCAATGTAAGTTTAATTTAAATCGTGAAATAGGGTTGCCACGCAACCTGAAAACCTGGGAATGTCAAGGAATTTTATAAACCTTAAAAGACTCTAAAAAAAGTCAAGGAATTTTGATCGAAATCCTGGAAAATTGTTGTTTTCTACAGCTATTGTGTTTATTCTTGAAATCTAATTTTACTTAAATATTTTTAAAATAATTCAATTTTAAAAGAATTGCACTTACAATTTTGTCAACAGAATTCAATTATTTAAAGATTTGTTGTTAAATTTCTTTATGAATACTTGTAATTAAAATTCTGTAAAAGTAATTTTTTTCAAAAACTTTAATGGAATTTTTTAAAATTATTTGAAGTTTCTAATTTCTAATATATTTCATAGAAAAATGTCAGAATAATCAAAATTTCGTAAAATGAAATTGTAAACAAAAGAATTTTAAAATCCTCAAAGAACTTTTTAAAAAATTATTCTAGATTCAGGGAAAAAGTCAAAGTTTTGTCTGGAAATCAGGGATATATTTGATTTGATAAAATATTAATTTAGTTTTAAAACCTGGAAAAATTCCGGTTTTGATCAGGAAAACCTGGAAAAGTCAGAGAATTTAAATTGATCAAAAGCGTGGCTACCCTGAGTTATTTCTTTATTGTAATTTTCAATGTTTTTAAAATTAATGTAGGAAATACTAATTATATAGTTATATAATACTAATTAAATTATGGAATAAAATTTAAAAATAATAAGACGAAAATATTTTTCTCCACTCAGAATTATATTTGTCGTAATAACAATATAACTTACCGATAGTTGAATATTTCTTCTTTCTGATGAGCAACTCTTTTCGCTGGGTAAGGAATCATTAAATAAGGTCTCAAAGTAAACCCTTCATCACCAATGAAGAAAAATGGAACTTTATCTTCTGTGCCTGGTAAATTTTTTGCAGGAGGCAAGGAATATAATTTTTCTTCTAAAGCTTTTGCTAAGTGAGTTTCTTTAAAGACACTCCTATCGCTTAGAGAGCCTAAAATTGTATAGTATTAATAACAAATTTTTCAATTATTCTAATACAAAGTAAAAAAGTTTTTAATCTCATAAAATTGTTATTTTGTTAAATTTATATTTTTAAGATTTGCCTGAAGTGTAATTATACTTTACCATAATCGCCGATGTCGACCCAACTAAAGCGGTACTCAGCGTCACATATAGCCATTAAGTCAAAACTGCAAAACTTTTTATAATTATAGAAAGTACTTTCAGAGCGTGGAGGCTTACAAATCCTGATGTGCTTGCCATCTAAGGCACCAATGCAATTTGGAAAATTTCATTTTTTTTCGAAAACATTTGCATCATTTTCCCAATCTTGAACCCCTTTCATTTTTATGAATTTTGGAGACAAAACTTCCCAAACATGATACACCACTTCTTTTACTATACCATATGCAGTTGACTTACCAATATAATAAAATTTACTTAGAGTTTTAAAACTGTCCCCATGTGCTAAAAACCTATACAGAATGAATAAATAAAACATGACAAAGGTGGAAACGTGAAAAATTCTCAAACTTTAAAAAGGTGAAAACATTATTTCAAGAAGGTCCGAAAATCCATGAATTTCTCCGAATACAAAAAAAGTTATTAAAATATACCATTTGTAAATTGTAAATATTACTTTATTTATTAGGAAAATATTCACGTTTTGTTTACTCACTCTTAATAAATGTTTAGTTGAACATTATAAATATTTGTGTTTACTAATTCAAAAATAGAGATTGCGTAGTAATTTTTCTTAAATTTAAAATTATCTTCTCATCAATTTATCTTTTTAAAAAATGCATTAAATAAATTTGATAATAAAAAAATTACCATTAAAAAGTAGGTATACATACTGTATCGTTAATGCTAATCGAAGTTCAGTTGGTAATGGCTCTCTCCAAATTTTACATTTTTCTAAACGTGGTCGCAGCATTTCATGCAATTCTTTAAATTGTTCAACACTCATTCTATACATTTTATAGAATTCTTCATGATCATTTAATGAGAAATATGTAAATAGAGTTGAATAAGCTCCAAATTCGCGTCTGACATTTTCCCGAATATGCGGTTTCACCCACCATCTTCTATGTATTCTTTTCCCTGATGATTGCTGGTGCAAATTACACAATTCCAACCAAGCAAGTGCAACTAACATAAGACCAGCTATGTCCATTTTTGAAAATTTTTAATTTTAGTTTTAAAATGCAAAATTAAAAAATAGCACAATCAATCAACGCAGATAACACTAATTTCTTTTGTTATATATTAAGAGAGAAAGTAGCTGCATATTATATTTCTTGATAAAATATTATTGACAATAATTAGATTTATTTTAAATCAAACATTCCAGTGGTCTATTTCTTTAAAAAATTTATTTTTTAATTAAAAAAAGGAAGAAAAATAATTTTTTTTATAACATTTTTATAATTTTTTACAATTATCTTTAAAACTTTAACAAAAGATTTTTTAATAGATTTGTTTATTTAAAACTTGTATTTTCTGTTATACATTTAGAGAAATATTATACCTGTTTAATATTATATATATATATTTTTTTGTTGGAAAAATCGAATTATTAATTATTATTATTCATAAACACTTTTTCTTTTCATGATATAACATATTAAATTAAAACTGTATAAAAATGTAAATAAATAACTCTAAGAGCAACTGAAACGTAACAAAGAATTTTATTATGTAACTCATAACTTTTTCTAAACAAATCAAACATTTAACTCCAGTTCTATTATATCCATCAGTTTATCAAAAACTCTTCTTTGTTGAACTTCAGGAATTTTTCGAAAATTTTCTATAATAATTCTCTCATAGCTGTGCAACATGTTTTCTTTATTCTTGTTAATTATTTGTTCCATTAAAGATTTTATAATCAGTCCAGTTTGATGAACTGTTTGACTTTCTGTATGTGAGACTTGATCAAAGAAAGAAGGTGTGTTGTTGGATGTACAATTCGTACTATCTAAAATAAATTGCTTCCTCATAGAGGAAGTATTTGAATTATTATTGCATATATTTTTAACGTTAATATATAATTAAATAAAACGTAAATATATTTAAAAAAATTTAATTTAAATTTGTATAAATAAAAGAGACAAAAAATACTTCCTCTATGAGGAAGTAATTATTAGAATGTTATACATTTTTAAAAGTAAAAATATTTTTATGTATAATATTACTTATATTTCTAAACAATATCAATTATTAATATTTCTAACTTAAATCTTACTTTCATTAAACACCATTTCTTCTGCAGTCTCATTTTCAGAAGATAAATCAATAATTTCAACATTTTCATTAGGTGATTTGGACTCATCTTTCTTTTCCAGGCAATCAAAATGGATATTGCTTGATGTTCTGAAACGATATTATTGGATTTATAAAACGAAAACACATTTTTATCAAATAATACAAACAAACCTTAAATGAGATATATGAGGTTTCAAAAAAAGCATTGCTTCATAATACTCCCATGGAACTTTTCCTTTAACTGCAGCAGATCCACTTTTTGTATATTTATTTGTCTCTTGATATTCGGTTGTAAATATATTTTTCAAACTTTTCCATCGAGATTTTAATACGTCCACTATAAGAAATAAATTTTTATCAATTAAACATTTTATTTTTGTAAAAAATTATTTACAAAAAAATTTAATAATGTAAAAAAATAAGTTTGATAATTTTTCTTTTAATAAAGATAGAGATGCTCACCATGTTCGCGCTCACCGCTTATTCCTGCGTAGCATTTGGCAATATTTTCCCAAGCTTGCATTTTCTTTACATTATCTTTATGTTTTGGATTATGTTTATCATAAAGACAAGGATGATCTTCAACACAGTGAATTATAATAAGATTTCTATCCATCTTTTTATATCTTTCCTTTGGTATGGTCGATAAATAAGAAATATTTAATAAAAAAAAAGAGAAAACTGTCACGAACTTTATAAAAAGACAAAAGACAACAAGCACAATTCTCTGTAACAACACGTTGACAAAATTTTTTTATATTATTATTATTATTATTATTATTATTATTATTATTAAAATAATATTAACAAAAAATATATAATAAAACTTTTTTATCATTAAATTTGTATTAGAGTATTTATTCAAGTTCGCAATTTTAGAATATCTATTTTTTATCATTTAAAATTCTCGGGTTTTAACATACAGTTTTTTTCAAATTTCCCGGTTAAATTTTTGTCGACACATTTTCAAATTTAAAAGACTTTAATTTTTTAATTTTCTAAACGAGTTTAATTAGAACTAGGTATACCTTTATCGAATTTTTAAAACCGATGAAAAGTTACATATTTTAAGATGATTTTCAGAGTGAATTTTAAAATCTCTGTCGTAATTCAAAGAAAAAGTCAAAAACATTTTTATTTTTAAAAATACGCGGTGAAGTGTGGTGATTATAATAGGTTTTACATTTAAAAAGCTGACTTTTTTTTAAATAAGAGGTTACATAAAAATTCGTCTCCTTAGTGACTTTTATAAGTGTCTTTATGATATTAAAATGTCTAATCAAAGTAATACTGACATGACAAATATTCGATTAATTCAATTAGTTGAAAAAGAGATATGTCTGTACGAAAGAAAAGCAAGAAACAAAGATAAAAATAATGCTTGGAGTAAAGTGTCAAAAATAATGAACGGAATGGGTCATAAAGAAATGGATGGTAAGTATATGGTATTAGAAATTGAAGAGAAAATTATAATTAGTTTTGAAAAAAAATTTTTAGTGATAGCTTGTTCCAAACGATGGTCATATCTTAGAGAGCAATTTACAAGGGCCCATAAAAAGGTTTTAGAAAATCCTGAAAGACAAACAGCCTTCAAATATTTTAACCAAATGAGGTTTCTTGAGAATCACATTTTACATACAACAGAAATAAAGGAGCAAGAAAATTTGGTTAGGTGAGTTATTTTCCCTATAAGTGTAATTCAAAGTAGTTTATATTCTAATTAGTAAATTATATTAATAGAATATTATTATCAATAAGTATATTCTAATTACAAAACTCATAATTTATTTAAATCAATTATAATATTTATCTATTCTTTAATCTTATTTATTTTCTAAAATTGTTTTAAATAATATTAATATTCAAAAAAACTTATGATAAACCTTTTTTTATGTAGAATGTATTTTGATTTTTAACGGTTTTTAAAATTGTTTTAGAATTAAAAGTAATTTTTTGAATATGATATTTATAGTTTTGAATTTGTTTACATAAATTATTGACAAAGTTAATTAACTTTTCGTAACTTATAAAATATATATATTATTATAATTTGATTTGAATATTCATTAAATGTGAGATTAAAAAAAATCCTAAAAAGGTCAATTATTGTTTATTTCGTAATTATTTATTTCTACATTTCTTTTTCAGAGATTGTGCAAGGGAAAATTCTTACAATGACCAAACTTCGATGGAATTTGAATTAATAACCCAAGAGAATACTGATAAACTACCACCTGCAGAAGATGACAATAGTTTATTCAGGAAAGAAATACTACAATTGCAAGAAAATACTGAAAAACTACCACCTGCAGAAAATGACAATACTTTATTCGGGAAAGAAATATTTCAATTGCAACAAGATTCCGCTTTGCAACATTCATTGCCAACAATGTTTGCAAAACTTGATGAGACTGTTAATTCTAATGATGAGAATGATCATTTTGAAGTTGCTGAATTGGAATTTTTGCAATCATGTCATTCTGTTTCTGATGGTTCAAAGGATTCTAATCCTATAGAATTAGATAAAATTACAGTTAAAACTTCTAATGCTACAACGAGTGAAACTAAAAGGATTGGAATTTCTGAGATGCCATTGAAAAACATTATTAATGAAAATAAAAAAAAAGAAACAGGATTTAGAAAATTTTGAACCTCTACCTTCAGGGTCTAATGTGAAAAAAAATTCAGCATCCTTGTTAGAAATAAATAATTTTTTGTCTAAGTATTTGAATCCACTTGAAAGGAAAACTGCGGAAAGCATTCGATGGCGAATTCCTGTAATGACTTCAGAAAAAAACAAAGAAAACTTAGACAGTCGATCCATTTCAGCTGCGTGTGACAAGAATATAAATACCAAAGTTGTTCCTAATGATGTTCGGATTTCTGGACAACCAAAAATACTAAGCAACGTTGTAATCCATATGAAGGCACCTGAAAAGCAAAATGAAATTATACCAATAGACACTGATACAGAGCAGAGAGATATTGATTTAAACGAAGAACTTGCCAATTATACTACCTCGCAATTTGAAAACACTACTGTAGTTAGTGGAGAAAAAATAATTAAAAAAATGGGAAAAAAAGATGAAAAAAAATCAAAGTTAAAAAATGTTAATACTTTAAAAAGTTTTCCTCTCCGTCCACATTCAACCAAGCAGTTTGAAGAAACAAATTTTAAGAAGGAAATCGATCTCTCTAATAAGAAGAAAAAAGGTAGAATATGACATTTTTATTAATAAACAAACTATTTATTTATACTTACTTTATCCAGAAAATAAACTGCTTTAAACTTGTAAATTAATTGCTTACACTATAATTGACTGAGGTTTCAATAAAATAAAAACTTATATTGAATTAAAATAATTTTCAGGGATACATCCACCGCTGGATATTTATGCGAAAAGATTTAAAAATAACGGTAAAGATCAAGAGCATATGAGAAAAGCAGTTGATTGTTTCCAAATCTCATAACAGTAGTCTCTTCTTACTACAATAAAAAAATGGAAAACATGCAACTTAATAATTTTCACTGCAATTGTAATTCACAAAATCTTGATGGATATGAAGAAAAGATAATACAAACTTTTAGAAACTTTCCAGAGAATCAGAAAAGAAATTGTTTTCGAAATATAATGAATATCCTCGATGAATTAGAAATTGTAACTGATATAAACAATGAGTCGACAGAACAGCCGTAAAATTTAAGTTTACAAAAGTAGAAATTAATTTTTTACTTTATGTTTATAACTGAATGAAATGCTACCAACAATTTTTATCACATAAATTATGTTTACCTTAAAATAGCAATAAATTTCATACCATGTTACATTTTCTAATCTGATTGAAATAATAAAATTTACTATTTAATTTGCAAAAGATGTTTAATCTGTTAGTTTTTTTAAAATCTTATTGAGAAATACATTTTTTTATTTTAGTTTTAAAAAGTATTTTTTATTATTATAAGACAAAGTTAACCTCAAACCAGATTTTACAGAGCTCAACATGTAAATAATTATACACACTTTCTGAGATAATTTATAGTTCTCTAGTTAACTTTATGAATATTTAAGTGTATTTTTAATAAAGAGTAATAAATATAATTTGTTATTTAAATAATATGTGTGAACTTAAAAATTATACACAGCAGTTACATTTAATATATTAATTTATTGATTTTATTGTTATTGTTATTATTTATACTGTTAAATGGCAACTGTATTTTATTACATTTAACACATTCACAAAACTGTAAAATATTTGCAATTCAATTATACAAAATAGAAAATAAAAACATAACCCATCATGACAGATAACATCAGTTTCTTCTGTCAGAACTTTGTGTTGGCAATACTGCGTACGCCCCGTTTATTCGTCACGTAAATTCGTCCGTTCTTGATTTCACGTAACTAGTGTGGATTCAGCATAAAAGATAGTCTTAATATTTGATCACGTACCGTAAGTGAGGCTAAATTCGCTCATGTAGGGTAAATTCGCTCAACCGATGTCTATTTTTTAAAATTCGATTAACATACTTTTTAGACAGAAATATTTAAGATTTACAATTGTTTTGGTTAATATAAATGATAAACTTTAATTTAGAATTTATTTGCAGCAAATTCATTGGTAACTTTCAGTAGAAATTCTATTTAAAACACAAGTGAATAATTTTCATATTGAACAAGTAGTATGAAAAAGTAGGAAATAAAGCTTTACTTCAAAATTTTTAAGTTGAATACTTCTGAACATTACATTTCCTGTATCTCTAACATGATTTTCATAAAGCACAAAAATTAAAGCAATAAACAGATTCTGCAAAAAATCAATTTAAAAAAAAATTCAAATTTGTTGTGTAAATTCGCTTTGGAAATAAGTCTACAAAAAAGATGTTTGGGCCTGGATATTTTAAGTATGTTAATTACTTTAATTTATAATTCGATTTTTTTAAATAATAGTACTCTTATAACTGAAAATTAAACGATTTAAAACGGTTTAAGCACTAAACTGTCAAACTTAACCTTGTTTTTTATGGTTATGAGTACGTTTGATTAAATGATTGAATCTAATTACTTATTGATAAAACAATATTAAATATTTATTCCAATAACTTTGAATATTGTTCTTAATTTTTTTCTTTATTGATTCTAAAGAATATTTAGTTTCATTTTTGCAGATTATAATATATTTTGCTAGAATAATAATGGTGAGCGAATTTACCCATCATTTAACCCCTTGGCAGTCCACGGTGGTCTTCAAGCACTTTTAGGTTTGCCTAAAATGAGTCAAAATTGTGCTAACGCAGTTTTATCGGGAATCGGCCCAAGATTCCAAATTTTCATTTCCGAAAATCGTAGCTGATTCTTTTTTCGAAAAAAACCAAAAAAACATATATATATATGGGCAATTCCACGTGAGATTTTAGTCGACGTCTTGAAATCGACCAAAAATATTTTTTTTCTATTCTGTATTGAAAAAAACAGATACGTATTTTTTTATTTTTGTTTAATTGTCCAAATTTTAGAGTTATGAATTTTCGAAATTTTGGACTTGTAATTGTAGACCTATATTTAGTAGCTTATAAGTCCGAAATTATTCAGTTTAGGAAAAAGTTGTCAAAGAATGAAACTTTTAGTTTTCTTTCGACTTTTAAGAAATGTAAACAAAAAAATTTTTTGTTAATTTTTTAAAATTTTTTATTAAAAAAAATTTTTTTTTATAAACAAATTTATTTTTTTTAACTTTAGCCCGGATTTTTTTTAATTTTTTAAAATTTATTTATTCCTTATAATATATGGAAGATTTTTCAAAAAATCCCGAGGTGGAACTGATGTGTTGAATGAGTTTTAAAACATTTTCAAAAATCACTTGCAAGCATCACAGTGGGATTTTTTTACAATTAACTTTTTAAAACTGTCTACAGTGTATAATTTTAATCTATTTGAGAGTTCTTTTTTTAAATTAAAGGATCTACGCTGTATAGACAATTTTAGAAGTTAATTGTAAAAAAAATCCCACTGTGATGATTGCAAGTAATTTTTGAAAATGTTTTAAAACTCATTCAACACATCAGTCCCACCTCGGGATTTTTTGGAAAATCTTCTCTATATTATAAGGAATAAATAAATTTTAAAAAAATAAAAAAAAATCCGGGGTTAAAAAAAATTAATTTGTTTATAAAAAAAAATTTTTTTAAATAAAAAATTTTAAAAAAAAATTTTTTTTAATAAAAAATTTTAAAAAAATTTTTTGTTTACATTTCTTAAAAGTCGAAAGAAAACTAAAACTTTCATTCTGTGACAAATTTTTCCTAAACTCAATATTTTCGGACTTATAAGCTACTAAATATAGGTCTACAATTACAAGTCCAAAATTTCGAAAATTTATAACTCGAGAATTTGGACAATTAAACAAAAATAAAAAAATACGTATCTGTTTTTTTTCAATACAGAATAGAAAAAAAATATTTTTGGCCGATTTTAAGAGGTCGACTAAAATCTCACGTGGAATTGCCCATATATATATATGTTTTTTTGGTTTTTTTTGAAAAAAGAATCAGCTACGATTTTCGGAAATGAAAATTTGGAATCTTGCGCCGATTCCAGATAAAACTGCGTTAGCACAATTTTTACTCATTTTAGGTAAACCTAAAAGTGCTTGAAGACAACCGTGAGTCGATGACGTGTATACACGTCATGGTGCAGATGCAGGTGGGCTCAAACTGTCGATGACGTGTATAGACGCAAGCAGATTTTAAAAATTCAAAATGGCGGATCCTATATAGCGGATGACATTTTTAAAAACTCGCCTGATTCATTTAAAAATCGTTATTCGGGGGTTTTCAGGGTCGCTGATTACGAATCTAGCATCAGAGTTTTAGAATACAATGTGGCGGTTCGAATATGGCTGGCACCATTTTAAAAAATTTATTAGATTTACATAAAAGTTGTTACTTGGAATTTATTGATGTCGTAGATTAAAAATGTAATATCGGTATTGAAAATGGCGGATCCAATATAAGAACAAACAAAAAAAAATATAAAAAAAACAAAATAAATAAAGGAGTGTAAAATCCGACCGCATACCTTCACGTGGTAAACTCTGGGGCCGTAAGTAACCACTATTTTGAATTTTCAAAATCTGAAATCGGATTTGTAATCAGCGACCCCAAAAACCCTCGAGTAAAAAGTTTTAAGTGAATCCGTTGAATTTTAGAAAATTTCGTCTGCTATATTATATCCGACATTTTGAATTTTTAAAATCTGAAATCGGTTTCGTAATCAGCGACCCTGAAAACCCCCGAGTAAAAAGTTTCAAGTGAATCCGATGAATTTTTTTAAATGTCCCCCATATTGGATCCGCCATTTTGAATTTTTAAAATCTGAAAACGAATTCGTAATCAGCGATCCCGAAAACTTATAAATAATAAATAAATAATAAATAATTTTCTGCAACATATTTCAATTTCTTTATGCAGTCATAGAAAAGATAAAGGGTTAAAGATTATATATTTTCAGTGCCAATGTTTATTTTCATCGTTTCCCGAAGTTATTTAAAAAAGAATTGAAAAATTGAGCGAATTTGGCCTCACTTACGGTAACAATTTCAGAACAAAATTTTAAAAAAATGTATGCCACGGACCTGACAATTGAGGCTCCGAATCTTAAAAGAGCACTTTTATCATTTAAAATAAATGCTAAAGAGCCCTTTTAAGATCTAGAGCCTCAATTTTACCCCATTTTCTTAATTTTAACCATGATAATGATTAGTTAATGAACTGAATATTAAGTATTTTTAAGAAGAGACTTCCATTAAGTTATTTGTGAAGTGATTGGCAAAAAAAATAATTTTATTAGTTATTTATCTATGAGGTCATGCAAATATGACAGTTATTTAAAAATAACCCATTTAAGAATGAAGTTTATTTCTCCATTAAAAAACTATTTTCAAATTTAAGTTTCAAACTTTAAATATAAAATTTTTATAACCACAATAATAATATGATTGTTTGGTAATTAGTTGGGGGATGATTACAAACAAACTGTCAAAAACCATTTTCATCGTCGGCAAGTTCAGCAGTACGGGAGCTTTTGTTTACGACTGGGGACTGTTGGTTTTGGAGCAGGGTCGTTGGTATTTACCGGATTACAAATTGGTGCGGAAATAGTATCCGGACCATTCAGAGCTATTACCCCAACAGCGAGACTCCTCTTGGTGATGGCTCAGATGCATTTTATATTTTTAAATAGTAAATGTTTAGAGCTCACAAAACATGGAGCTTTTGCAAAATTGGGTTTAATGCACATGATTGCCACAAATCTTTGCGAATGGTTACAGGTAATTAAAATTACTTTACCTAAAAATTAAATTGAAACAGAAACTAAAATAATGAAATGAAATTATTAAGCACGAAAAAAGTTATATTTTATTTTTAAACTATTGTATTTATATTATTTAAATTAATTATAGATATTAGGAAATTTATCTGTAATAGAAAGTAGCAATCCAATCTAGTATTTTTGGACAATAAAATTAAAAAATATCAGGTGATATTTTTTCACTTCAGTGTATCTGTTATCAGAATTGGTTCAGGTTAAATAAAACAAATTTAAAAATGAGAAAAGAAATATGTTCTCAATAGAATTTAGTGATAGATTTGATTGACTATTTAAAAAAACTTTTTGAATATAAAATCAAAACAAATTTGTGAAACAACTTTCAAAACGAAAGGGGTAGGAAGACGAATGACGGGAATTAAAATATCCTCAGGCTATGTCGATAACCTCTACTCACCGACTATCCTTATTCTCTATTTTCAGGCTCTGGTGGAGGAAACACAGCATGAGATCGTCCAATTGGAACACGCGCACGAGGGTGACGACGGCATCCTAAAAACCCTTCTCAGAGATGCAAGTCCTTTCCTATTTCCATGCACGATCGAATTCAGTTTAATCTGCGCAGTCATCCTATTTGAAATGTGGAAATGCGTTGACAAAAGAGTCACTAACTCGACGAAATATGAATCATCAGCTAGATCCCTTCATCATCTTAGTATCGATTGCGGCAGTGCTCACAGGTAAAAAAAACTTTTCATATGATTTCATCAGCTCTCACAATGAGTCTAATTTTCTTAGCTAAAGTACTTTAAATTGACCGTAACAAAGATACCCTCAGGACATTCCATGGATTCCGTTTTAGAACATATTAGGAAGGTCCTCTGGATATTCTTTATTTACATTAAAAGATATCCTATATAGTCGACTGGCTGCAGAAAGATACTATAATTTGACATTTGAGATAGCATGTTCTTCAATTCTTAATTCGAATAGCATATTTCTGCCACCAATCGACAATATAAATTTTATAAAGTCTTTAATCTCAAAGATATCCTTGGCATGTTTAACGAACATTTTGTAAGTAATACCCAAGTATGGACGTCCAAACGTCCATATGGACTAGAAGTATGAGAGATATTCAAGAAATATTTATTAAAGTTTACTTTGCAATTCTAAGACTACTCGAATAACATCTGCAAAAAATGTATGTGTCAATATTGTTGCTTAAGAATAAAAAAAATTTCTGATTGAATGATAATTAAGTCATTTTGATTCACTACTATGGTGTCTTGACATTCATTTGCCAAGCAATTTTTTTTAAGAATAATAAATTAAATTTATACACATAGAAAATTTTGGTCAAACAGTTGCGATCGCAGTAGTAGCGCATCTCTAATTCATTTTAGTGTAACTTCTAAATGTTCTTCTACGATATTTAATACTGCCACCTGTAGGATAAAGTTTGCTCCAACCAGAGTCAGGGTTGTGCACGTAATATACCTCAGGTAAGTTACATTAGTTTTCTACGTATGTTACATACGTAATATACCTCTTCGGTTTTCTACAGAATGTATTATACATATAGTACGGGTGTGAGAGTAAGCTACATAACCTTAAATAGTCACGTGTTTGTATCCTTAGGTCAGTTTTGTTGTTATAGGAAATCTTTTTGAATTGTTTTGTAAATAAATGTGTACATTTTTATCACTATGAATCGTGGTGGTCGACCGAAACATAATTCGTGGAAAGAATTATGTTTCGAATTACAAAAATTGGAAAACGGAAAAAATGTGGCCTTATGCTTGCTTTGAAACAAAACTTTAAAAAACACTTTTATTTTGTTCGTTGTTGCAAATATTTCTTTAACAAATAAACAGTAATTATTCTTTATTTAACACAAATGGGAATTCAGGATGAATATATTAATTTGAAACAAAAATGTTTATAAAAAAAGATTATAAATTATTTATTCTTACCTATGTCCTAACAGACGTTTGTATCCAATATTTTTCAAAATATTGTTGCAGAGCAAACATTTTGCAACATTTGATTTATTTTGATTTGATTCATCTACTATTGTCAAACGTTCAAATTGCAATTTATCATAAGGGATATATGGATGAGTTGTGGACTTCAATTTTGTTGTCATATTTTGCAAATAGTTTTTAATCTGAACTTTCAATTTCTGTTACAAACCAGAATTTATTTATTTATTTAAAAATACCGAGCTTTTGAGATGGCTCGTAGTTCTGTGGTTTGGTGAGGCACGAAGCTCCCAAGGTCTAAAAGACCTTGTTTAATTATGCGGGATCGTTTTTCCACTTTTAAAAGTTACCTCCGATGCTTTGTTTGATTTATAAATTTAATTCTTTTGACTTTAATTAGTTCAGGAGTTTTAAAGAAAGTAAATCAGATTTAGTATTTTACATGACAACATTTATTTAAACATTATTTCAGAACAGAATGCAAAGGAGTATACAAAACTTGCTAATGTTTGTGTTGGAGGATATAAAAATTTGTAGAGATTCGACATTGAAACAATACGGAATTACTTACGTATATTTTCCTTAATCCTACCGACAGGGCATAATTCCTTTTAGACAGCGCAGGCGCTACGCGCGCGGACTGGCCGGTTAAGGAACAGGGATCCTCCGTCGGGCAAAACACAGTTGAAAATTGAGTCGTCGATGCGACTAATTTTCTTTTTCACGAGCTCGCGAATTTTGTAAAGAAGAGAGTCTTCTTTAGTTTTGTGGGACCACTGAATTGAGACGGCGCAGGTACTACACGTACGGACTGGCCGGTTAAAAAAACAAGATTTTCAAATTGTTTAATATTTAATTAACTGAAACCTCACTCAACACAGCTTGCACTGGACTCCGTCGGTTAGAAGATTCTATTTTATTTTTTACGTCCGCCATTGGACTTTGCATTATGCTGACATTTCTGATTGCATGCAGTTTTCGTGAGAACGGAAACGGCGTTGTTAATTTGATACTTATCAGAAACAATTTTTATAACTAAATATATAAATTATAATTATATTGTAAAGAAAGAATTTTTTATTTATAATTATAAATGTTGATTCAGCCTCCAAATGCATGTGCATTTGTTATGATATTCTAGTCCCTAAGTTTGTAGGCCCAAAGGGGAAAAAGGAAGGAGAGACAAGGAAAGACAATAGGAGAGACAAGGCAATGAGCAGAGGCATGTTTAGCATGCTTGTATGTGTGCCCGTATCGCGAAGAACTCTAGGGTGTGGTTGTGTTAGATCTTGTAGCCAGCGGAATCAGTGGATGTGCACGTATACACCTAGGTCGTCTCAATGCATATGTGTGAAATGCATTACCTTTAATTATTTTCAATATCCACTCTATTATATTAAGTTAGAGAACGACCGACCGACAGACTCACACCTCTTTCTATTCTGTCTAACTATTTTTGAAAATGCTTCACTCACACATGTCCAAAAAACACATACCCATGAATGACCCTGTCCCCCCTCCTTAATTTTTACAAATCTCAACCTGGTGATCTGAAATTCGGTAAGGATTTTCAGTTTTAAGTGCAGATTACATGAAAAATATAGCGAACCCAATTGAAGGACATATTTGCGAACTAGGAGGGAAAGAAATTCAATTTTTTCGAAAAAATTGAAAAAATTACCCTGTCCAACCCCTTTAACTTTTACAAATCTTAACTTGATGAGCTTAAATTCGGTAGGGATCATCAGTTTTAAATGCAGATTACAGGAAAAATATAGCGAACCCAATTGAAGGACATATTTGCGAACTAGGAGGGAAAGAAATTCAATTTTTTCGAAAAAATTGAAAAAATTACCCTGTCCAACCCCCTTAACTTCTACAAATCTCAACATTATGAGCTAAAATTCAGTAGGGATATTAAGTTTCAAGTGTAGATTACAGGAAAAATATAGCGAACCTGATTAGTGGAGATATTTGGGAACTAGAAGGGAAAGAAATTGAATTTTTTCGAAAAAATTGCAAAAAATGACCCTGTCCCCCCCCCTTAACTTTTACAAATCTCAACCTAGTGAGCTGAAATTCGGTAGGGATCTTCAGTTTTAAGTGTAGATTACAGGAAAAATATAGCGAACCTGATTGGTGGAGATATTTGGGAACTAGAAGGGAAAGAAATTGAATTTTTTTGAAAAAATTGCAAAAAATGACCCTGTCCCCCCCCCCTTAACTTTTACAAATCTCAACCTTATGAGCTAAAATTCGGTAGGGATCATCAGTTTTAAGTGCAGATTACAGGAAAAATATAGCGAACCTGATTGGTGGAGATATTTGGGAACTAGAAGGGAAAGAAATTGAATTTTTTCGAAAAAATTGCAAAAAATGACCCTGTCGCCCCCCCTTAACTTTTACAAATCTCAACCTAGTGAGCTGAAATTCGGTAGGGATATTAAGTTTCAAGTGTAGATTACAGGAAAAATATAGCGAACCTGATTGGTGGAGATATTTGGGAACTAGGAGGGAAAGAAATTCAATTTTTTCAAAAAAATTGCAAAAAATGACCCTGTCCCCCCCCCCCTTAACTTCTACAAATTTCAACATTATGAGCTAAAATTCAGTAGGAATATTAAGTTTCAAGTGTAGATTACAGGAAAAATATAGCGAACCTGATTGGTGGAGATATTTGGGAACTAGAAGGGAAAGAAATTGAATTTTTTTGAAAAAATTGCAAAAAATGACCCTGTCCCCCCCCTTAACTTTTACAAATCTTAACCTTATGAGTTGAAATTCGGTAGGGATCTTCAGTTTTAAGTGTAGATTACAGGAAAAATATAGCGAACCTGATTGGTGGAGATATTTGGGAACTAGAAGGGAAAGAAATTGAATTTCTTCAAAAAAATTGCAAAAAATGACCCTGTCCCCCCCCCCTTAACTTCTACAAATCTCAACATTATGAGCTAAAATTCAGTAGGAATATTAAGTTTCAAGTGTAGATTACAGGAAAAATATAGCGAACCTGATTGGTGGAGATATTTGGGAACTAGAAGGGAAAGAAATTGAATTTTTTTGAAAAAATTGCAAAAAATGACCCTGTCCCCCCCCTTAACTTTTACAAATCTTAACCTTATGAGTTGAAATTCGGTAGGGATCTTCAGTTTTAAGTGTAGATTACAGGAAAAATATAGCGAACCTGATTGGTGGAGATATTTGGGAACTAGGAGGGAAAGAAATTCAATTTTTTCAAAAAAATTGCAAAAAATGACCCTGTCCCCCCCCTTAACTTCTACAAATCTCAACATTATGAGCTAAAATTCAGTAGGAATATTAAGTTTCAAGTGTAGATTACAGGAAAAATATAGCGAACCTGATTGGTGGAGATATTTGGGAACTAGAAGGGAAAGAAATTGAATTTTTTTGAAAAAATTGCAAAAAATGACCCTGTCCCCCCCCTTAACTTTCACAAATCTTAACCTTATGAGTTGAAATTCGGTAGGGATCTTCAGTTTTAAGTGTAGATTACAGGAAAAATATAGCGAACCTGATTGGTGGAGATATTTGGGAACTAGAAGGGAAAGAAATTGAATTTTTTCAAAAAAATTGCAAAAAATGACCCTGTCCCCCCCCTTAACATACACACAAAACACATACATGTCTTGTCGCGCATGCGCAGTAGTATTCCATGAATGTCACGCATGCGCAGTAGTGTTTTATCAATGTTACGCATGCGCAGTAGTGTTTTATCAATGTCACACATGCACAGT